TTTAATAATTCTTAAATGGTGCGGAATTCCTCAATGGTAATTTATAAAAGGGGGAGAGTTGCTAGATTTTGGTGTCCAATGGGGAAATTGCCCAAAAAAACATAAAAGGCTATTAGCTATTCTATATGTGCTTATTTGGTGAATCCGGAAGACTAGGAACAACAGAATCCACAACAACATGGTTTAGTCGCCTACGACGTTAGTCGATGATGTTATTTCATTGTTTTTCTCTTGGCATAAATTTATGGGATCTAATAATTAATGTAAATGATTTGAGTAGTGTTGCTCTCTTTTGTAAACTCTTGTTTGTCTGTCTAGTTGTTTGCTAGTCGCGTGGTTATTTTATAATATTATTTACCGTTTCTAAAATAAAATAAAATAACCGTAACACTTTATGCATGACACATGGACTATTTCTGGAATTTACTCAAATCAAGATTTAAAGGAGAAATACGGAGACTCTCGAGATATACAGACTTCCCCAGCAGCATATAATAATATATTTACTAATTTAAGGAAAAGGTATTTTAAGGTTCAAATGTATAGCAGGCATGCATATGGTTTTGTTTGTGTGAGTTGTGATGAAATTGGTCAAATCTTCTGACTTCTGATCCTTTCTTTAATAGTACAAGAGTGATTATTATTGTTTCTAGAGAAAATGATAAAAATAATCATTTACATTAATGACATTACAAAAATAGCAAAAAAAAAATTAAAATTACAAAAATAGCCAGCGATTTCGCAGATGGAGATGCCCCATCTGCGAAATGACATTCTCATCTGCGAAAGTACAAGCACATAAAGCACAGTTGTGCTTTAGGTGCTTGTACATTCGCAGGTGGTTTTTTTTTTTAAATTATTTTGTGTATATATAGGGGTAATTTCGCAGATGGAGAAGGTCCATCTGCGAAATACTCTCACTCTATCTGCGAAATGGTGATTTTTTTTGTCATATATATATATATATATATATATATATATATAGTTTGACTATGAAATGACTTGGTTTGACTACGAAATCATGTTGCTATATAAAAAGTTTTGTAGAATAATATCATTTTTTTTTAGTTTCTACAAAACTTTTTATATAGCAACATGATTTCGTAGTCAAACCAATTCATTTCATAGTCAAACTATAAAAAAAATAAAAAAATAAAAAAAATGACAAAAAAAATCACCATTTCGCAGATAGAGTGAGAGTATTTCGCAGATGGACCTTCTCCATCTGCGAAATTACCCCTATATATACACAAAAAAATTTATATAAAAAAAAACCACCTGCAAATGTACAAACACCTAAAGCACAGTTGTGCTTTATGTGCTTGTACTTTCGCAGATGAGAATGTCATTTCGCAGATGGGGCATCTCCATCTGCGAAATCATTGGCTAATTTTGTAATTTCGATATTTTTTGGCTATTTTTGTAATATCATTAGTGTAAATAGCTATTTTTGTCATTTTCTCTTATTTCTATATCTCAATGCAAAACACATAAAAAAGTCACATAAATATATTGGGGATTTTGTTTTAGTATTTCTATCAATCCTAAAATATTACATCTTGAAACCAATGATTCAATACTATCGAATTATACCTTGTATGTAATGCGATGATATATAGGAAGAACATGAATTATGCCTTGTATGTAATGGGAAGGTAGATAGGAAGAACATACAGAATCACAAAATCATGAAAATAATATATTGTAAAATAGCAAAGTTATTTTAATACATAAAGCATTCATACTTAATTATATTGATATATAACTAAATTTACGGTGTACAATAAAAACATTATAAAATTAAGAAATCATATACACATAATAAATCTTATTATTATAATATTTAATAAAGTCCTAGAATTTTAGTCCGGTTTATGTTTTAGTCCTAAACTAATTTTTGTTTACGAAAAAGTCCCAAAAACCGATAAAAGTTTGCATTTTGACCCTTTTTCACTGGTTGGAACCGGTAACAAATTAATTTGGGACTATTTCATAAATTGACCCAAATCATTGGGACTTTTCTGCAAACAAAAACCTTACTATTATTATTATTATAATTATTATTATAATAATTATTATTAATATATTAAAAATATAAATAAGTATACTATTTTTTAAATTTGTTATTATTAATATTGTTAATAATACATATAAACACATTTAAATTAAAAAATATTAAAGATATTTTATCAAGGTGAAGGTTGGACGGATGGTAATGCTTTAAGCTTTGAAATCATGAATGTATGTTTGTATATTCTAACTTTGTGTATGGTCATTTCACATTTGTTATTATTATTTTTTTAATTCAGAATATTAACATATAACAAATTAAAAGAAGCTACCGATTTTTCAAATTGTTTACAAATAGTGAGCATGTGATATGCGTGTATGTCTTGTGTATAAGTATTTGAATTACCAACATGTGTGTTGCTTTTTTTCATAACTTTATCCTTGTGGTTTTTTTTTTTTTTGGAAACATAACAGATATAGTGTGATAAAGCAAAACAGATCATATTACTTTTTATTAAATAAAATATTCTAGTTAATATTTTCGAATTTTGATATGAGCCACTAGGTCTGTCAAATCGGACCATCGTGTCGTGTTTTTGTCTGACACGACACGACACGACAATGTTTTTTGTAACACGAACACGACACGACACGATGTCGTGTTTTTTTTCACTAACACGAAAACGAACCAATTAAAAAACGACAACACAACACGACACGAAAAAGATAATATTACATAACTATTATTTTATTTAATTCATATTTAATCATATATAACACGATAAAAACGACAAACACGAAAACACGACAAATACATGCTCAATCGTGTCAATTTCGTGTGGATTTGTAAACACGAACACGACACGACACGACATTGTGTTTTTTAAACTTGACACGAACACGACACGAAAACGAATTCGAATTTTGATTTCGTCCCGATTTTGTTTCGTGTCGTGTATTTTTGTCGTGTCGTGTCATAAATTGACACCCCTATGAGCCACCAATGTAAATATTTATTGTGGATTTGTTGGATTTGAAAAGAAATCATTCTACCTTAAGAAATTTTATATACAAAGTGAGAAATCCTTTTGTCTTAAACTATTTATACATAATTTTACAAATAGACAACTTTTTTTTTAAATTGTTAAGTGTTAATATTTTGAATTGAAAACAATAATAAGAAATGTGAAATGATTATATACAAATTGAGGACATACAAGCAGATATTCATGATTTCAATGTTTAAAGCATTACCATTACCACCACCTTCACATTTAAATAATTTCTTTAATATATTTTTTTATTTTAGTGTATTTATATGTATTATTAAAAATATTAATAATAATGAATTTAAAAATTAGTATACTTGTTTATATTTTTAATAATAATAATAATAATAATAATAATAATAATAATAATAATAATAATATGATTTTTGTTTGCAGAAAAGTTCTAATATTTTTTTGCAAAAAAATCCCAATATTTTAGATCATTTTGTGAAATAGTCCCAATATTTTATGTCAGTTTATGAAATAATCTCAAATTAATTTGTTGCCGGTTCCAACCGGTCAAAAAGGATCAAAATGCATACTTTTGCCGGTTTTTAAGATTTTTTCGTAAACAAAAATTAGTTTAGCACTAAAACATAAACCGGACCAAAATTTATAGGATTTTATTGGAGATTTCCCTATAAACATTGATTAAAAATATAGAAAAATATAATTTTGGGCTGGTATATTGATTTTTTTTGTTTTTTATTTTATTTTTGTTCAAGGACAAATGTCGTATAACAATTGAACACCTATGTTGTTAAGTTGAACGGCACATGGATCAAAATCGTCAAATAAAAACGTCCATATAAGGACCACGTTTGTAGACAAATATGCAATATCAGTAGGAAGTAGGAACTAATAAAAACGTCCATATAATTTTACTTAAATGATAAAATAATAAAAAAGCTTTTATATATTAATAAAAAATATTTATGTAACAAGTAACAACCCACTATAAGACCACATTGTAGACAAACGTGCAAATAAGTTTAACCTTCAACCTTGTTATAGTAAAAAGAAAAATGGTTTAAATATTTTGAATATTAATGAACAATTATTAAAGTCACATTTCCATTAGTAGTAATAAGTCAAATAAGTCAGTAAAACGTCTGCAACTCTGCATACTACTATAATTACCTTCTTATTCTTGGAAAAGAGAATCCCGTTTATTCTCCCTTTCAAACCCGTTTTCCCTCATCATGCCTATAAAAAAGAACTAACCTCATTTGAAAACAAGCACACTGCACACCTCTCTCAACTTCTTTCCAATATATGTCTCATAAAGATATCACAAAACTTATTCCGATCAAAGTTTTTTCTGATAGATATATGTTGCTTTTTTTTTTGGAGATAGAAGAATAGGATAATGGGAAAGAAAGATAATGTTTGTTGGAGCTGTTGGAATAGGTGCTTCGTAAGAAGAAATGAAACCATCAATGGATCTATTCATTTAAGGGTATGTGGGTTATTTTGTGGTGGTGTAATTTCTTTCGAGGCCACCTATGCCAACGTCTTCCCCAAACTATCTTCCCCTCCCTTCTTATCCTTTTATTTGGTGCTTGGTGAAAAGAAATGTTGATTATGGCGTTACTTAGTAGAGTTGTTTACACTTTTAAAATTTCTTAAGGAAATCTCAAGTATGGTTTCTAAAAAATGAATTTTATGGGAATGGGAACTGCTTTTTATGGATTTTGTGTGTGTGTGTGTGTGGGGAGAGGGAGGGGGGAGTGGTAAATGAAAACTTATTTGACAACATAAAATGGTTTCAATAAGCTAAAATGCCTATTTCATTAAATTTAGAAAATACTTGTAAACTAAAAACAAGACACTACTAAAGACCATAAGAAATATAAGTACGTGCCATTTTACGGCTGTTACGAAGCAATATATAGCAAATAATCGATAAATTATAATAAAATAAAAAAAATCAAAATAACAGTTTAGAATATGATCCGATATAATGCTTCATGAGCATATGTTCAAAAGTCGAAACTACTTTCCCGAGTATATGAGGAAAACGACACCCCAAAAGACAATGTTTTATGCACATAATATGCAAAACATAATGACTTACAATATAAATAGTATATATGGAGATTTTCAAATTGAAACCATCTCAAAGAAAAATGATCCAACTTAGTTTTGTTCCTTATGATGATCAAAGTCTAACACTTAATTACCATAATACATGAACTTTCTCAAATAATTAAACATCCCAAACATAAATATGATCAAGAATCCCAAAAATTGCCAACTTTCAAACCTGCTTCAAGTATCAAAATCTTCCATTTTCCAATACACTTTGTGAGCATACTGATGAAGAATGAAGTCAGGAATTCTTGGAAGCTAATAATGGCATTCGATCTGTTGTTATTAAAAGAAATGATGGAAGAAAAGATGGGATCACAAATGCCACACCCAAACAAATAATTACAAACATCACAACCCACCAAGCCTTGTGTGGAATACCTAACATTAGTTCATCACAAACTGCCATTCAAAATAAATTCATTAAGTAATTAAATTTGTAAATTTAGTGTTAACCAAATAAAAGTTACCTATGTTATATATAACCATTTCCCTCTCCTTTCCATTTGGGATAGCAACCACCCCCTCAGTCTCCACAGTCAACATCACATACATTCCACTCTAAAAAAACAAGAAATCTAAATTACTACTTCTCAAAATAAATAAATAAAAATAAAGTAATAAAACACAATGAAAGAGATATTTAAGCTTAAACCTGGTTGTTTTGTAAGTCTTCATCATCATTCTTGAAAATCAACTTTTCAGTATTGAGTAATTTCCTCTGTTGCTTCAGTTCAAAGTTTGGATTTTCCTTTTTAAGTTGTAATGAAAAGCTAGCGGGTATCTGATATTAAATATAACAAGTTTTTGTTGACAATAATAATAATAATAAAGCTAAAAGATCATGTATTATTATTATTATTTTAATATATAATATACATACAGAAGCAGGATATGATATCTTCACTTCATACCAATGATTTGGTTTAAGGCCTTGAAGTTGGTAGACACGGGATCCTGATTGTAATGGTAGGGTTTCCTTTTGCAATTCTTCCCCGACATTTAAAATGTCCAAATTAGCCCTGTAATTGGAATATTTTTAAAAAATAATTGTTGGAAAAAGTTGTTAAAATGTAACTGACTTGTTAAAACAAGTGTATACTAGAATGAAGAAAAGAAAGTACCCGTATACAGTTTGTAGGAGTATTATGCAAAACAAGAAGCAACACTTGTGAACAATTCCATGATGATGTATCCACATCAGCATTTCTGTAATGTTAACAGTCCACGCAAGCTGCCATGTCAGCTTTCTTATTGATAATGAATTCAAAAAGCACTGGATCAATTTTGAAGGCAATTGATTTCGATTGCTTAATTGTAAAATTGAAGCTTCACTTGCTAAATGTTTAAGAAAATGGGAAATGTAATCACATATTAAGAAGGTAATCTCTCTCAGGCATTTGATCAAACAGCTTGCATGCAATCTCATTTCTAATCTTTTGGTCATTCTAAGCAATCTGATTTCAAACCTTTTGTTAATTTTGATCGGTTTTTTCATCATATAAACTTTGGGTCCTCAGAAATCCAAGTCATAAGACTAAACAAATCAAGATACTTCATAATCAGAAAAGCTAGATGAACATGGTTATTAACATCAAACGATGACCCCAGACAACAAACAATTAGAAACATGAACAAGAAACACGAAAGTAGAAAAAGTTGAAGAAAAATGGAACCTGTAGCTGTGGGTTGCGAAGGTATCTAGTCGTTGATACGAATCTGCTTCAGTTCATCTCCCTCGTCGCTCTTGATACGAATCTGCTTCCTTTCCTGGATTGGGAATGTAAAGGGGCTGGTATATATATAATGTGGGCTCAATTGCTAACTTTTATATATTTGGGCTAATACTTGGATCACTTCAGGCTTATAATTTATATCATCTTCATGATTCCAAAAGTCCCAACTCTCCTGTATATATTAAATTTTAACTCTAAAATAAAATAAAAGAATAAAACAAATACTATTTTATTTTAAACCCTACTAGCCTACTCAATTTTTTCGTTCAAAATATGTATTCTTTAGTATATTTGTTTCTTCAATTTATAAAAATTATCAAAACCTTTCGAATATTAGATTTTTAAAATATATTAATAAGTTTATATAAATTCAATATAAAAATATTTTATTTTATATTTGTATTTAATTAATATCATCTAAATTGTAGTTAGTTAACTAAAACAAAAAGAAAATGATGAATCTAAACCGTAAAGGTCTACAGTTGAAAAACGAAAGTTCACTTTCATTTTGAAGCAAATAAAAAGGATTACTCCATATTTAGAATTATATTATCCACTACTTTATAATCCGTGGGAATTACGATTATAAAATTAATTAAATTTTATAGTAAAAACTCAAAATTATTAATAAATTATTTTTAATAAATTATTAATTAAGAGATGTTTTTATTAGTTATATGAAATTATAATCGTTGATTCAAATAAATATTTAAAATTAATTTTTAATATATATATTAGACAATTTTTATTTGTAAATTAATGAAAACAATAATATAAAATTGAAATTTAAAATTTAAATTTAAATTTTAAATTTAAATTTAAAATAGAAAATAAATACATTGACAAATAGCATCACATTAATGATGATTGTCTAATAAATTTAAAATAGATAACTAATAGATTGACAAGTGACAACACATTAATTAAGAGGTATAATATGATGACACATGACAAAAGAACTACTCTTTTATTAGTATTGGTTTACTCAAAAATGAATTGGAGATGGTTTAACTAGAAAATAGAGAAATTAATGGAGTTTGGAGTAGGATTAGAGATGATTATGAGAGGTGTTTGGAGTTCCTTATTTAAAATAATTTATGTTTATTTTTGTGAAAATGTTTATTAGCTTATTTGTTTATAAAATCAAGTTTTATAAAAAAAATGTTTAGCTTTGTTTATATGGTATAAAATGAAATAAATTGCTAAATTATATTTTAATGTTTGATAGTTTCAACTTATGCCTATAAAAATACAAAAAATTATATACTTATTTATTACTGACTTATCTATTTATTTTTACATATAAAAAATCGTTTATATCATTTAAAATAGTATTTTTGACAATTTTATATTAAAAATTGACAGTTCAAATAAAAATAGTAAATAGTATGAGAACGTAAAAACACTATTTTTATGTTATTATTTTGGAATGAATTTTGTATTCACAACTTTATGTTATTATTCAACAATAAATAAATGAATAGTTACATGTTAAAACTAAAATTAGAACTTACTACAAAAATGCAAAAATATAAATTTATAATAGAATAATAACATTCTAATGGATATATGAATAATCAAACGTTAATATTGATATTAGAATTACTTTAACAATATAAATATACACCATTCATTAGATAATAGCAACATAAACATAGTGTTTCTCTCTCTCTCTCTCTCTCTATATATATATATATATATATATATATATATATATATATATATATATATATATATATATTAGTCTGATATTTATTTATATAATCTATTAAAAAATATTTTATACATAACACGTGCATGAATATATACGATCCTTGGAATGTTGAATCCTAATCTAATAAATAAGTACATTTATGCCAGGTGGCATTCTCTTAGCCCCCTCCAATCGAGTTTTCCCGCTTCTATCATCCAACTACATTTCCAAAATTGCCCCTGCTTTTTTTGACTCATTATCACGCCTATATCCTTCGTCCTTAGTTCGTTCCTAAAAATTAGGAAACAAATTAGGGATTTGATTGCAACAGTTACTAATTTGGATTCCATTTCAAACTTTCCCATTTATAAAATCTCTCCCTGTTGACAAAACCTACGCCGTTCACCTTCACCACCATTATCTCTCCTCGCTTAAGAATTATCCTTCGACCGTCTGTATCTTTCCTTCGTTGTCTCGCTGCTCAATTTTTCTTAAGGGATGATAACTAAATAATGGTTTTGATGTGCAGGTTTGTCATTACTTTTTTATATTTAGGTTAAAGTCTTCCCCTCGCTCACTTCTTTTCTATTTATATATATATATATATATATATATATATATATATATATTGGATTTTTGGTTTCAAGGCTTAGTAGAACCTTGAATGATGTTTTTTTATTCATATCCAATTAAATCAGCTTTTTGTAAGTAGGCAAAAAGGGGTTGGTTTTTGTTTTTGTTGTATTCGTATTCTTATGTCTTATTATACTGTTGTTTTTTTGTTGTATTTGAAGATCTTAATCAGGATTCTTTTGTGACAATCCATGGTAAATGTGTAGATTTAGGAGTGATCTAAAGGTGTTCGATGAAATGTCTAAGAGAAGTACATTTACATGATCACCTGTGAGAGTCTTTATTTTGGTTTAGTAGCTAAATTTGTCGGTTTCGGTATGCAATTTTCATAGTGAGCAAGCTTTCAACCGTGGCCCTCAGATTAGCAATGTTCATGAGGGCAATGTCGTTACAGGTAATTAATGAATTCCACCATCCTCTTTCATGCATAATTTTTAAAATGATACTTAGCCTACTACAATACTTTCGTATACCGTACAACCCAACAGTGCACCACCATACAGATCATAACTTAATTCATTCAAATCCATTGATTAATGGTCTATTGTGTGAGCAATTGCAGGAAAAGGAGAGGTGGTGATGTGCGCAGAGAATAAAAACTCAAAGTTGTTCCATGCGGTTATGGGGGGCTAGGTCAATTTGGGATCATCACAAGGGCTAGAATTGCATTGGAAGCTTCCCCTCAAAGAGTATGTTTTAATTTCTTTCCATATGTTTAATTTACTATTTTAATTACATATTCTTTCCATGAAAATACAATACAATTTTGGAGAAAATAAAGTAAATTATAATTATTTACAAAAGAGGAATGATTTAGTGGTCCATGTTCATGTTCAATTCATGGCGATATATGAAGTTTTTTCAACCAATCAAAACCTGCTTGTGTTTGCATTTGTGTTTGTGTTGTTGATGTGCCAGTTATTGTTATTATTATTATTCCATCGACAAACATAATGTCATTTTCTCACTCTTTTTAGGTTATGGCCCATTACTCTTCTCTCTTAACTTATTATTCTATGATAAGTGACAATTAATTACTTATTACCTGCAGGTGAGATGGATCAATGTATTGTATTCTAACTTCTACGTGTTTACCCATGATCAAGAATAGCTCATCTCCCTCCATGGTCAACCAAGCTCCAAGAAGTTTAACTATGTCGAAGGTTTTGTAATCGTGGACGAAGGTCTCATCAACAACTGGAGGTCTTCCTTCAATTGTTATGGAATTTAATTGCTTCAAGGTGGGATTATTTTTAAATTTTATACAATCTTGTGCATCAGTGTATAACATGGACCAACCTGTAAATTTGAAGTATTAAAAAAATTATAACAAGGGTCATTTTTGTATTTTTATACATACATACAATCTTTTATTGCATTTTACTTTCTCTCTGTGTGTGACCAACATGGACAATTTCTGTGTGTCAATGTGTGTATTTTTAATTGAAGGAACAATAATAACAACATGCTTATGTTCAATAACCGATTGTAGCAACTTAGTTTTATATTTAACTGAGGGACCATTTTTCTTATGTCATTTCTGTTAAATTATTTATTACTTTGTAATTTCCTGCACATACAACACATATAAGGACCATTTCTGTAAATTTCAATGTACTTTTGTTTATTTGTTTATTTAATTTATAATGTTTCTTTATATATAGTTTATAATAGGTTTAATCAGTTGTCACTAATACTAAAGGGGAGGGGATAAGAAATATAGCTTATTGTTAAATTTGATGATTATTGTGATTTTTTTCAATATAGACATAAAATGGTCATTTAATTTTATTTGACGGTTTATTAAATTTGGAAAAACATAAAAGCCTTATTTGACAACACTTTATTCCTTTTACCTATACATGAATTAATGGAAAACTAAACAGCACAAAAGAAGGTTATTTTTGTCTTTTCATTATTTATACACTCTTACGTTCAATATTAAGATACATTATAGTCTTAACCATATGAATATGTATACATAAACGTAATTTATTGCAAATTTTAATTAGGAATCGCCAAAAACTGCTTGGAAGTTAATGTTGACTTCATGAAAGGATGAACCAAATTTACTTTGATTTCAAATGATAAGAACGAATGTTATAAATTCCGTAAATATGGTTCTTTAATTAGTAATCAGATTGTGACTAATGATTGTTTTAACCACATAATATTGAAAATATGAAGTTATAATATAAAAAATTAATAAAAGTACAATGTTATTCTGGAGATTTAAACATGACCATTAACAGTTTTAATAGTTTTGTGTTCATGTATCATTAATATATTATCTTCATCATTTATTTAGTACATTCTTTTACAATTATATCTCATTATATAACATAATCCCTTTATCATTAATATAAATATAAATAATGTTGTTTATATCTTCAAAATATATTGCAAAATTAATTTAAATTAATAATTAACTAAATTGTTTTATGTTGTCCCGTGTTTTACACGGGTTATAATCTAGTATTTTATAGGGAGAATTTCATATATGTCCTTCTTAAACATCAAAATATCATATTTATCCAACTTAATTTCTAAATATCATATTTACCCTTCATAAATTTTCAAAATATCAAATATGTCCTTTTTAAACATCAAAATATCATATATATCCTTCTTAAATATCAAAATATCATATATGTACTTTTTAAACATCAAAATATCAATGATAATATCTAAAATATTATCTATCTACAATATGCTAACAATTAACAACAACAAAAACTAAACAATCAAAATATAAATTCTATAGAGATGGTTGAAGATGAATCTTTTTGTTTGTCAATACGGTGATATTCCAACAATTTAAAAGTTTACATTCCATTATCAAGGATAATATGGTTAAAATTTTTAATTAATTTAATAATTCTAAGGTATAAAAAATGATTATAAAATATTAAAAACATTATAAAAAAGGATTTGGGCAAATATGATATTTTGAAGGTTTACGAAGGGTAAATATGATATTAAGAAATTAAGCTGGGCAAATATGATATTTTGAAGTTTAAGAGGGGCATATATGAAATTCTCCCTATTTTATATATCAAAACAAGTGTTCTTACATATGTAAAAATATCTTATTTATTTCATGTCTTACCTAAGCCCCGCATATTCATGTCTCACTCACACTGTTCAATCCCAACTTAGCACACGAAGCGACCTTTATGCT